TCTATCTGGAAAACATATTATTTTCTCGAAGAATTGTACGTTATTCCATTAAAAATGATTGTTGTTAAAAATTAAAAACATATTGTTCTTTAATGTACTTAGTCTTTAACTTATAATGATTTGTTACATAAGAATTCATTAGTACATGTCAGTTTCGTTATAAATTGGGACTGTCAAATACGTTAGATGAGTCGAGCTTTAGCTTGACAATCGTTTTCCAAATCATGTTCCTGTGTGCAATTAACGATAAATCGAAAAATCGATAAAACGACATAATTAAAAAAATATCGAGCTTGGAGCGTTCAGCAATATATTGTTGTTTATTTTATTAATTATAAATTATTAAGCGACAAAAGAAATATTAAGCGCCTTTAAAGGTGCTCTTCGAAGGCCAACAGTCGATCAAATACTATACTTTTAATTGTCTCATTTTTAATTTATAATATTGATTTACGTTCCACGTCATAGAACTAGAGTATAAAGTACTGGATCACTCGTAGTTTTCAGTATTTTCCGTTTACCCTCGCGTGGCCCTATGTTTCGAGTAAATAATTAAACGCGTTTGTTCTGCTTTAATGGTAGCTTCGACCGACTGTGTATCGTCGGACAATCTCAGCTTCGTCGAATTAAATATTTAAATATTTTGTTTGAATTGACATTGTTTGAATCTTCGAGCAATGTGGGAAGGGAATTTCAATTTGATGTAAATCAAAGAGCATTTTTAAATTGCATTCGTTTATCCATTGTATAGTCAGTAAAATAGTCTAGTATTTCGAATTAGCAAATCTCCTGGATTCACTCGTACAGTAATTAGAAAAAGAAAATACACGACTCTGTACTGAAAGCTATAAAGACGCGTGTGCGTATTTCTATTTAGTAAGTAGCTTACTATTTAGTCCGATCGTATTGAAATGCGTAATTATTAAGGCGTTAACTAATCAAAGGATAAAGTTCGATCCTCGTTTAAAAAGACTGAATTTATAAACTCTGATTATATATAATTATACGCTAGCATATAGAACTTAGCGTTTCAAGTTATAATGAACGGCTCACCACCAACCATCTTTATGTTTAAAAGCAGGAACTAGTTAAGTATTTTAGTACCGAATGTAATTGTCCTTATATACGTGTTTATAAAATATATTTAAGACTCGCAATGAGCCATGTAGTGATAAGTCTATATTAGTATTTTTCCATTAGAGCTTGGATTTAATTTGGGAGTAACGAGTGTTAATTAAGCTGCTGATCTGATCTTCAAATAATTAATTGCGTATAATATATTATGGTTTTTTTCTTCAAAGAAATAAATTCACTCGTATTGTTAAATATATCACAAACCTTTTCGTAGTTGTCGTTGTTCTCGTTGCTTCGTTTCTTCTTTTCCTTCTTCTCTTTTTCCTTTATTAATCTTCGTAAAGTCTTCGTCAAAGAAAGGCTGCCAGTTTTACGACTCGAGTATTATCTACTCAAAGATAAAGCTTTTTCTAATATTGGTTAATCAGAATTTGCCCATAAAAAGAAGGAGTTTCATTTTTACAAGAGGTGTAGCAGCTTAACTAGAATATCGAAAGCAGCTTTTTATTTTATAACGTAAACTGCGCGGCTTGAAAGCAAAAATTTTACGATAGACTGGATCTTAAAGACTACACGATTGAGTATAAGCATTAACATTTTTAGAAAGGGATTGTTATTTAGGTAGTGCAGCTGGTTATATATTGCGAGTAAAATTTTGTCTCGATTCGTCGATAGCTTAAGAAAAACAGACTTTAAAGCAATTCGCGCCAAGCGTACTGTAAGTAACATTGCTAGAGCTGTTACATTGGTGTGTATTTAAAGCACAAGATTTTCCATCATTTTCCAACGATCCAACCTTCCGAATACACGACCGCATGTACCGTATTGCGATTCATCTTTCCTCGAATTAAAATTAGTTTACGTGCAATAGCCAAGCTCACTTGAAGCTTAATTGAAGCTCAATTGAAGCTCAATTGAAGCTCAATTCTCACGCGCGGAGCGTGCAGAAAATGCACGTGAATTGTACGATCGAATACGTCGAAAGATTCGCGACGAGATTGACATTGCCAGGTGGATTTACAGTTGAGGAGATTAGATTCCGCGGATTTCGCGAATTTGCGGCTCGCAGTACAGCTAAGAAGAATGTCGGTGAAGAAGGAGGGGCACGAGAGGCGTCGGAAGACAACGAAATAGTTGAGCGTCGAGATCCCAATCCCATCTCGTTTTCCCAATAAGAGCGCATCCGACGTTTCCGTTTCAGGCATAACAGTACACCCCCCCCCCCTATACCTCCACCTTCACCCAATCCCGGGTACTTTTTATCTACTACCATCGCCCGTCCCGTCCCGGCTAAATTTATATATCCACCCGCGCCGGCCTTTGTTCTTCTCTCGGGTTCCGAGTTTCCGGATACGCGGGGGAATTTCTCGGTGTGCGACGCGACGAGGTCCAGTCGCACGTGATTCCCCGACGCATCTCGCGGATAATGCATGCGCGCCTTCGGGGAAGCGATAAAGGTTCCCGAGCGGGGAACGGGGGCTTATGCTAGCGGCTGCTACGGCCTCGGTAGAGGAGGAGGATGATGATGATGATTATGACGACGGGGGCAGGGATGACGGAGGAGGGAACGGATGACCTCGGCACGCAGGTATACAAGCCACTTGGCTAATGGGACACTCGCGCCTAATGCGCGCGCAGCCGACGCAAAAAGCCGCGGCCAATCTGCGGGCCATCTTGCGCCAGGAACAAAGGCCCCGTGCATCACGCGTGCCATTAGTGCGCCGGGGGTTGAACGCGGGGGGATGCGAGCCCTTGGCTCTCGTCTACCGAGCGACCAGTGATACTGGTCAAATACTTCCGCCCCGTGGCGACGATTGGGATATGTAGGTTTGGGGTGCTGTTCCGGGCGATGTTGTGAGTGCTGATAAGGCGAGGAAGTTGGTCGTTTCTCGAAACCGGTGTCACGTTTCGCCGTCGAGACTCGTTTCGTTGCGCGAGAGTCCGAGCGAATGCACATTGCATTCTTTTTGAAGGCTTCCATTATTGCGATAATCCCAAGTTTTTCTGGGATTTCTTGATTTCATATAAACTTTAGGAGAATTAGAAAGTGGAGTAGTAGCAACAGACGGGATTTGCTAGATATTATATATTGCCAGATATTAATGAATATGCGTTTCGTATACGAATGACTAATGACATTAAAATAATAAGCTAAAAAATTTATTCATCGTAAAAATAATGTTTATTTAATAAGTAATGTGAAAAACAAATTTCTACTGTTATTTATAAATTTGAATTTATTTTTAAGGACAATTAATACCTACGTATTATACCTCGTATCGCTTGACGTAAATATAAAACTTCACCTCTGTTTAACAAAAGTTTTCTATTTGTTTTAAACGTATTAAACTTTTATGGATGATACATCAAGTTGATGATAGTATTTTTTTAAAGCTAATGCACATAAATTTTAACAATGTAAAAAGTATTTTTATCAAACCCATTTCATTCATTCAATTTTACAAATGATTTAGATAATATGTAAGGGATGACTTTAGTGCTGATAAACCATCTTTAGGTTTCTTCATTTTCTTCAGGCTTAATAACGATTTTTCATATAATATTATAAAATAAAAAACAAAGATGAACAAAATAACTATAGGGGACTATAAATAGAGTTTTGGTAGACGAAATTTTGATGTGGATAATCAATCGAAAGAATGTATTGATAATTTAAATTAGTATAATTTTACGTTCTATATTTATAAAATTCATGCACTGATTGGATATAAGAACTTTTTTAGTATAATTAATAAATACACCGTTAAATGCTATAATAGCCTATCATTGTTCATAAATTCCTAATAACGAAATTCTCTAAAATTTTAAACGTCACTGTCAGAAACTTGAACTTACAATCAAATTAGTAAGTCTAGTAAACAATCGTTTCAATTTAAAAGCGAGGATTTTTGTTGTAGAGTAAATACAATGTTCAAGGACTACGTATTCCATTAATTGTTGTGTTTGCATAATTTTTATTAAAATGTTGTATCCTGTCTAAAGTAGTGATAAAATAAGTGTACTGCGCCTTTACAGAAGACAAGTGGCCACGAAAGACGATTGGTAAAGAGGAAAAAAGATATATATATATATATATATATATATATATGATGTTATGATAGAATTATTTTAGTACGAAGTAGTCGAAAAAAATGCAATTCTACTTTCACGTAATCTCTTTGAGGAAGTAAAGTATCAATATGATTGACAGAAGCTATTATGCTTTCCGTTACTGAGTTATCAAAGCATTTCGAAGAGCGAATAATGTAATTATCGCTTTTTACGCAGTCAGCACTTGCAGAGCGTATTTTAAGGAAAGACCGATTCCAATCAGCATAAAATAAAATTCAATCTAAATGATAAAAAGTGCGTCCACCGGCCTCGATTATTCAAGCAAATACCCCCGGAGATTCTCTCTCGTTCGTAATATGGGCATGTTGTGCCTGTTGAGTGTCTCGCGTAATTTCGATCGGAATTACAGGAGTTGGGCGCGAAATGGAAAAAGCGACCATTGCATTAGTTCTCGGGGGCGAGAAAGTGGGCGAGCTCGACGTTCGCGAAGGCTGAGCCGAAGGAAGGAAGAAACTGGATGGGCGGGTGGAGGGGCGAAGGGGGCTTAGAGAAGGAAGAGAAAAGGAGCCGAATGGTCTTAGGTATCGGGAGCGTGAAATGCCGGCGCGCATGCGATCGGGGGATCCACCCGAGAAGGTAAGAATTGCATCAACGCGTAGACACGAGAGGAGCCGAGGGGCCCCCGTTGGAGGGCTTCGCTCCTTTTTCTCCTATTCTTGCGGCTCCTCCTCATCCTTCTCATCCACCTCCTTCTCCACCATCTCCTCCACTTCCTCCTACTACCTCTCGAGCTGTAGCACGCGTCCCCGCTCCGACAGGGCCCTCGATAGTCCGGAGTCCGGACCCCGACGGCGACGCGCACCTCCAGTCATCGACGCGCACGCGTCCACGACGCACGACTTGTCCGATCACTCCTCCTTAGACACGCGCGTGACATCGGGATGCGCGCGGCACCGTGACACGGGGGCCCAACTCGAAAACGAAAGTCTCACCTCGGTGCTTTTGCTCCTCTCCTTCACGCTTACTCTACTGGAGATTATATAAGTGATGATGATACGCGGAACGGTCGACCTGGCGGGATCGGCTTTTTTCCTGGCGGCCCTGGTAAGGAGAGCATTTTTCATTCTCTTCGCTTCCGCTTATCTGCGAATTCCTCGACGCTGCCCCTGGCTGCAGTCTGCCTCTGCGGGCCGCTTTTCTTCTTCTTCTTTTTCTTCTTTTTCTTTTTTTTTTTTCTCAAGATTTTTCTTAAAAGCTTGCACTTTCAAATACATAGATGTTCATGCAAATAAGCTTCTTTCTTTATTATTGGCTTTAATGCTCTGCTTATGCGCAGCCGTAGCATCGAGAGGTCCTTTTGCAATTTCGCAAGCAACACTTTTGCCTTTTTCTGGACTAAGCAGCTTTATTTAAGTGTACTACTATCAAAGAGCTTTAATGCAGGCTGAATAATGGTAATGTTGTCGAGCACGGAAGTATGAGCTGGAAATACCCTCGGTGGAAGTATTTCTCTACTTCTTCCTATTGTTTCTTACTTACGTTGCGTCCCAGAGAATTTCATAATAATCGCGCGGTCGGATCAAGGAAATATTTTATTATTATTATTATTTTTTTTTTCACCAGAATGAAAAAATCATTAACATCATTTTCTACTTAAGATATTAGAGCGATGAATATGTATAATAGCCTGCATGAGTTTAATATTTTACGAGTATTTGAAAGTGCAATGTCAGTAATTAAATATGTTTGTATAATTTATAAGATGCGGTATTACATGAGCCCGTTTGAGATAATATTGATATATGTAGCTGTAAGTCGTTGATAGAGGAAATAAGTAAATTAATAATAATAATAATAATAATAATAACAACAACAACAACAACAACAACAACAACAACAACAACAACAACAACAACAACAACAACAACAACAACAACAACAACAACAACAACAACAACAACAACAACAACAACAACAACAACAACAACAACAACAACAACAACAACAACAACAACAACAACAACAACAACAACAACAACAACAACAACAACAACAACAACAACAACAACAACAACAACAACAACAACAACAACAACAACAACAACAACAACAACAACAACAACAACAACAACAACAACAACAACAACAACAACAACAACAACAACAACAACAACAACAACAACAACAACAACAACAACAACAACAACAACAACAACAACAACAACAACAACAACAACAACAACAACAACAACAATAACAACAACAATAACAACAACAATAACAATAATAATAATAATAATAATAATAATAATGATGATGATGATGATGATGATGATGATGATGATGATGATGATGATGATGATGATGATGATGATGATGATGATGATGATGATGATGATGATGATGATGATGATGATGATGATGATGATGATGATGATGATGATGATGATGATGATGATGATGATGATGATGATGATGATGATGATGATGATGATGATGATGATGATGATGATGATGATGATGATGATGATGATGATGATGATGATGATGATGATGATGATGATGATGATGATGATGATGATGATGATGATGATGATGATGATGATGATGATGATGATGATGATGATGATGATGATGATGATGATGATGATGATGATGATGATGATGATGATGATGATGATGATGATGATGATGATGATGATGATGATGATGATGATGATGATGATGATGATGATGATGATGATGATGATGATGATGATGATGATGATGATGATGATGATGATGATGATGATGATGATGATGATGATGATGATGATGATGATGATGATGATGATGATGATGATGATGATGATGATGATGATGATGATGATGATGATGATGATGATGATGATGATGATGATGATGATGATGATGATGATGATGATGATGATGATGATGATGATGATGATGATGATGATGATGATGATGATGATGATGATGATGATGATGATGATGATGATGATGATGATGATGATGATGATGATGATGATGATGATGATGATGATGATGATGATGATGATGATGATGATGATGATGATGATGATGATGATGATGATGATGATGATGATGATGATGATGATAATAATAATAATGATAATAAAGGAAAAGAAGAAGAAGAAGAAAAAGAAGAAGAAAAAGAGGAATAAAATTATCATCAAAGCTTGAATTCTTATTTACATAAAATTATTGTCTTTATGAATTTCTTTGAAAATTATTATATTTATTCTTGCATACGATATTAATTAAACATTTCCTATTTTAGGGAAATTTTATTCCGATTTAATTAGCGTGATTATGAAATAACTCGCCAAAAGAACGTTCGTCTTTCATATTCCTGTTGAGCAAAGCAATGGAGGAAAGTAACCCCGGCCTTTGAATTATTCGTAATTCCGATAATTCAGCCGCAATGTTTTCGAAGCTATTGCTAACATTAGAAATTAGAAATGAAACCCGTTTAAATAATATTGTGCAGATGGAGAAATTGAGACTGGCGAGCGCCCACGCACACACAACACGCGCACAGTTAGTTCACCGATGCTTATAATCAGCATAAAATAACCAAGTAGACTTATAAAATATAAACTGCGAATGGAGGGAGATAGGGCTGACAGTACGACCGATGCTATGACAACTTTTTCATCTTAATATTCAGTCTGGTGGCAAATGTTAGAGAAAAGTATAAAGGCATATATTATATGTAGTCAATGACGCGTGTCGAAAATCTTTGAAGCATACTAAGCATAAAAGGTGAAGAATTTGTAATGAGATACCGCACTAATACTTGAATAAATCACTTAAAAAAATGATTTCACGTACTGGACAATCGGTCTTTGGACTCATTATTAACATATCGGGCTGAAATGTATTAGACGGATATGGAAAATCCGTTGGTACGGCTAATAATTAACAAAATTGAAATTAGCCGTTCGTTAGTTTTTTATGCGCGCTTCGTTAGTCGCGAGGTCATTAAAAAATATACACAGTTGTGCGCGGTAGCATAAACGGTAATCACAAAATTACGTACGTGCAGCACATGTACAGCTAAAGACAAACGGTAATTGTAATCGTGATTTGTTGGTATAATCAGGATAATTAATATGAGCCGGTTACAATTACATTCCTTCGCACGATTATTCGATTGTTCTGGCATTTGACCGACCACCAATTGGTGAAAAACAAAAAAAAAAATTTTAAATATGAGATTCAATGGAAAAACTCGAGCTACACGGCTCGTTGCTCGCTAGCGTCGATCGAAGCATAAACGCAAATTGCAGCTTTTCAGTTTTTTTGCCAAAGCATTTAGCATTACTCGATCGGTGCTATTCTTCGCTTCTTCCAATCCCACCAAAAACACTGAGAGAACAAGCCCTCAACGTTAAATAACTCAATTCAATAAAATAACGCTATTTAATAAATACGGGAGGGAACATGTGCCATTTGCACGGGTAATGTACAACGTAACCGCCGATTTCCCGCAATATGCGATCCATCATGTGCGTAGAAAGGACGACAACAAAGTCATCCTACCGGTTAGAGGTGGCATGGTGAGAGGCGACAAGAGCCCCTTCCCGAGTAACTGGTAGTAGTCGCTCGATCTTTCGCGCTCGTAAAATTTCATCGGCATCGCAGGAATTCCGCGCTCCAGCTGCAATTTCCATCCTTCGAAGGAGCCCCGGCGGCTGTCGCGGGACTTTTCGCACTCTGTAGCCCTCGGGCTCGCGGACGCGCGCGCGCCTATCAGCATGCGCAGTATGGGGTGGGGCTGAGGGACGAGGGACAAGGCGAGCAATTTGCAGACGAACAACGACGACGAGGAAGTCACGGAGCGGAGCGACGTCTGCGAGCGGCGTCTGCGAGCGGCGTCTGCGAGTCCATGCAACCCGATATCGCCCATTTGAAATTCCTCTCCTTCCGAACCGCTGTCATTTTTTCCCTCCCTCTCTGGCTATTTGCCTTCGGCTCCGGTTTCTTTTTCTCCCGCTCGCTTTCTTCCTCGGCATCTTCCTCCGGCTTTCTCGGACTGACATCCTCGTGATAGGACAGGATGGATCCTCGTATCCTTCTTCTCCTCTTTTCTCTGCTGAGGATAATTATTGCTTTCGAATTGACGGCGGAGAAGGTTCGGTGGTGTCGGTGGCGGCGGCGGCGGGGGGGGGGCTGCAAAGCTATTATGCATGGCTTTGTTAAGACCAGCGGTAGGATGCGCCATCCATCAAATGCTCGTTCGATAAATTTTGTAGCCGATTAGTCTATCGATATAATTCATCTACAATTGGGATTTAATAGAGGAGGGCGCTTAAGGTGTTTGAGGACTTTGGCAAATTGATAAATTGCTCTTTCGGCTCTTGTATTTTATGAAAGTATGATATTTCAAAAGTATTTCACTGGAATATTTGGAAGGATTGAAATTATCATTGCAATTGGAAGGTAGTAAAGCTCCGTAATTTTCATCAATGTTTTTCCCTTTCCTTTCTTTTTCCTCTTCCCTTCTCATACTTATTTTTACTATTTTGAAGTTTTATTATTTGCATTTTTGATACGCTATTAATTAATTTACCATTATGCATGAATTTTTGAATATGAATACGATTTGAAAATAGCATCGAGTTACCTATGCGTGACAAGTGCGAGGATGGGCTATTCGGGCACAAAAAATAATATCTCAGCGTCAACAATGTATCGATGATATTTTATAAGTGGCTGTGAAAAATAAAAGGTTTAAAAAATAAAATCCATATGTTTAAAATCCATAAATTTAATGGAAGATGGAATAGCTCGGCTGTACGTGTCAGTTAATTGCTTATTTCACGTGTGTGTACGAATAAGGCTTAAATGCGTTTGCCTTAAAGCTACGCGTTGAAATTCGTCTCGAAAACTGTCTAACCGATTGTTTTGAATTTCTTTTTCTTCTTTTTTTTTTTTTATAATCGATCAATTTGACACTTTTATAACACGTGCTCTTTTATAACACAAAAATTATAATCCTCGCACGTAACTTTATGCTGTAACTTAAATTTCGACTGTACGTTAAAAACAAATGGTTTTTCTGGCAAAAATTTAAGAAT